CAAAATTGCACACCAAAGAAAAATCATTTTATTTTTGGATTTTTTGGGAGTAATTCTCATATTAGGCAAAAATCACGTGCTTACAATACATGCAGCTTGTAAAATATAAGTATGATTGTTGATTGTTCATCTTCGTAAGTTTAGATGATTAAATTATTTTGTCCTCGATAAATAAATCACCATTCCACATTGATCATTCACATATATACTTAATTCTTTGATGTACTTATATACTCAAAAGCTTTATTTCAATAGTAATGATGATATTATTATATAAAATCAAGTACCACAAGACTCGGCATACATGTGCAACATATGTACCGAGAATACTCCTAACATTTTGATAAATTAAATATTATTGGTGTGTACGACATATCTTAGTATTTCCAACACACATTTCCCAGTAAATGCATGCTACGAGAACAATAATCGTCGATTGACAATTCACATTTATCATTCATTAAAACTGTACGTATTCTTCATCTATAATTATTTACTCAAAATTTTTGTTTCAATACTTTATTTATTTTATTTTACAAATCGTGTACTACATGACTAGGGATACATGTGAAACTAGTTTTCTAGAATAATGGGTATTATATTATTGATTATATTGTTACAAAAAATACGACAGTATTTTTATTGTTTTGTTCTTATATCTTGTTAGATGACTATTTAAAGAATTAGCACCTTTTATCAAAAGAAACTTTTGAGTTTAATAAAGATAAACTCAATCTTGTAAAACGTAAGCTGAAAAGAAGGTGTTGTTTATATCTGACAACATTCATAAATGCTTTACAGTAAAACGCATTATAATACAATGTTTTAGTAAAACATTGTAAAACATTGTATTATAATGCCTTTTACATTTAAAAACGATTTATTAATTAAAACGCAGTGTTATACTACGTTTTTCTTTAACGGCTAACTTTCCGTTAAATTAAAACGCAGTATAATACTGCATTTTAGTTAGAAATGTAATTTTTTTTAATTGTATAAAGGTATTTTGAGTCCAAAATATCATTATTTAGGTTTCGGACTCAACAAAATACACTCAAGAATTTATTTTTAAATTTTGGTAATTTCGAAAATTTCAAGAAATTCTTTGTAAAATCTCTCTTACATAGCTGGCACAGAGACGAAGTTTTTCTGGGACCCACATGTCACGTGGCGGTGAATCATTGGTTGGAGCCTTAAATAAAGCGTTGTCACCGGTAGTTCCCGCGTAAATTTCATGTAACGCCTTTTTGCTGAAACAAATTTCTTAAAGCACCCCATATTCCTTCCTCATTCCAAATAATCCCCCGCAATTTTCCAAAAATTACGAAAATGACCTACTCCGACCGGAAGCATCGTCGGAGCCCTAAAACCACCCCTCTTCTGCCGCAAAAGGACGCCAATTTCGGCCATTCCGAAGCCGGATTCGACGGCGCTTCCTTCTCCGGCGCCGTCTTCAATCTCTCCACTACAATGGTCGGCGCCGGAATTATGGCACTTCCGGCTACTCTTAAGCAACTCGGTGCAATTCCAGGTCTTATCGTTATAATCCTCGCCGCTATGCTGACGGAGAAGTCAATTGAAATGTTGCTTAGATTCACCAGAGTTTCCAAATCCGCCTCCTCCTACTCCGGCCTCGCCGGCGATGCGTTCGGCGGATTTGGCCGTACTTTATTGGAAACTTGTATCGTGATTAACAATCTCGGAATGCTTGTTGTCTACATGATCATTATTGGTACCTAACTCCAGCTCATTTTTTTCCTTTTAGTTTACGAAATTTATTGATTTTCTAGAAGTACTAGTTGTTTCTTAAATTACACAGTTTCAAATTTTTTAAAAGTCCACAATTTTTGTATTTTAATTACGGAAAATAGTTTTTTTTATGTCCTGGTCAGCTTGAGGCACCTAGACTGTCCTAGCAGAGTTCTCCTTCCACTTCGTTAACCACTAGGCTACATCCTTCGGTTAAAAAAAATAGTTATTGTTAGCACTCTTTTTGTAGTTTTCAAATACTTTTTAAGTGTTTTTTTTTTAAAATTTCTGGAAATTGATGTCCACATTGAGATTAAATTAGATGCTTTGATGATTGTACTAAAAGCACCTCATTCTTTGGGATGGAGTACATTTTTTTTCTCAACTGAAGAACATGGGGGAAGAGGTATAGTGGAAGGCCTGCAGCGTTAGCTCCATCTTGGTTGTTGCTTAATCTAGTAGCCCAAGATTTATCTGTGTAGGCTAATGAAAATGGTGTGTTTGATTGCAGGTGATGTATTATCTGGAACTTCATCTGATGGGGTACACTATTCGGGCGTAATGGAAGAATGGTTTGGTCAACATTGGTGGACTGTGCGCTCCAACATATTGCTTCTTACTACACTCCTTGTCTTTGTTCCTCTTGTTTCATTCAAACGTGTTGGTGAGCATCGTAATTCACTCGTTCATAAATATATATATCACCTCATAGTGGAATGTGTAAATTATTATCCTCCATATATAAATAAATATGATCCCTCTTATGTAGTTGTAAACCAAATTGCTGTCAGGACAGTACGTAGTAGTAGGGCAGTCAGTGTCCTATTTTGAAAGTTCTGAGTGTTAAATTGCTAGAGAAAATAGTTCTAACTTCTAAGGGAGAAAGTGCTCAGCTGACCAAGGTATGAAGAGCTGATCACACTTTACCTTAGTAATACTACCTAGAATGCAATAATTTTATGTCAGAGCAATCTCTTCCACAGTATCCAGGGTCATCAGAAAAAGGCTTTCGTTGTTTAGTAGTGCGAATTATTCTACACATTGCTCTGTAAATGTACTATCTGCCCTCATCCATTAATATTCATGACTTGTTTTATTGTTTTGGGCAGATTCATTGAGATATACATCAGCCATGTCAGTCGCTCTAGCTGTTGTATTTGTGGTAATCACAGCTGGAATAGTCATTGTTAAGTTCATTAATGGAAGCATTGCAATGCCCCGCTTGCTGCCAAAACTCATTGATCAAGCATCTTTCTGGAAGCTTTTCACAACTGTCCCTGTACTTGTCACTGCCTATATTTGCCATCACAATAGTAAGTTCTAGTTTCACCTGCATAGACTTCTTTGTGAGTGAGCAGATTGTTAATTTTTAGTTATACGTGGGTTTATACAGTGAAACCATATAAAAAGAAACAAACACTGAAACCATTATAAAGAGATTTCCTCGAAGGCTTTGCTTTGGGTAATAGTTCCTTTGTTGCATTCAGTTATATGTTAGCATCTTTAGTACATTTGGAAGAGCAGTTCTTTTAAGAGCTTGAGTCGTGGATTTATGTTAAGGTTGAGGAGATCTAGGTGTTCCTTTATATATCTTTCCTTATCAACAAAATTATCCCCAAAGGAGCTTACATCCTTATGTTCATTTCTATCCTTATCTCTAGTTACCTTAGGAAATTATACTTGGGGGCTTTGGACCAAAACCTTGAGAGATGGCCAGTAGCTAGACTCAGATCCAACTACAAAAAAGTAATGCACGACATTTGTCAACCATTGGGTTACTTCACTTTCTTCTATGTGTCTTTATACAATGACACTAGGCAGCAGCAATGTTACATGTAATCTTCATATGTGTTGATGTAGTTGTTCAAACGCGCAGAATATGGATATGGGTACTTTGTTCAGATCCTTCAAACGCACTTTAAAATGTTGCTAACTCCAAGATACCCATACTGGACACATACCACAAGCCTAAGTCTATCTAATATAGGATATAGTCGTAGTTCATCGTCATTGTACGATTGAATTCTGAACTCCTGAAAATTTCTCTGTCATTCTTTGTTTGATATTCAGCAGAAAGTATTATTCTGCAAAACATCAAAAGGACATTCAACACCACTTTTGGTGCATCCCCTAATTCAATCGCTGTTGCTCTGTGACTACGGAGGCGGAAAATGGGCTATATTAAATAGCTTGCCAGTTTGTTAGTTACACATATCACCAAGTGGCTTTAGCGTACTCTTCTATAATTGATTTTCTTTTGTCTGTACTCTGCTGGGAGTAGATTCTTGGTGTAATAGTGGTATGTTGGCTGAAATCTTAATGTTGTGACCTAAATGGAATAAAGAGGGCTACTGTGGGATATCGTTGGATCAGAAAAGGAACAAAATGCAGAATTAAGGGTGACCAGTAATGAAGTTGGATGATAGAGGAACTGAGAATCAGAAGCAGTGTCAAGAAAGAATGAAGGAATGCGTTGGGTTTTGCTACTGTTTCTCTGTCTGCATATTTTTTTCTTCCTTTTTTCTAATTAAGCTAGGGTACTTTTTTAACCAAATTAAAGCAAAAGAAACGTCACTTGCTAGACAAGGTGTTTTCCTATACGTCAGTCTGGATAAATGCAACTCCATATGATTGAGCAAAAATTACTAGTGAAAACACTAATATTTGTTTCATTATATGTTGCAGTACATCCAATAGAGAATGAGCTAAGAGATGGCAGCCAGATGAAGTCAATAGTCCGGACTTCAATTGCGTTATGCACAACTGTATATGTGGCAACCAGCTTTTTTGGATTCCTTCTCTTTGGCGATCATACCTTGGATGATGTACTCGCCAACTTTGACGGTGAACTTGGGATTCCTTATAGCTCATTGCTTAATGATGTGGTGCGAGTGAGCTATGTCATCCACTTGATGCTTGTTTTCCCAATTGTTTTCTTTTCCCTTCGCCTCAATATGGATGGCCTCTTTTTCCCATATGCAATTCCTATTGCCTATGATAATCGCAGATTCTTTTCAGTCACAGCAGCTCTCATCTGTTTCATTTTTTTGGGAGCAAATTGTGTACCTAGCATTTGGGATGCATTCCAGTTTACTGGTGCCACAGCTACTGTCTCTGTTGGTTTCATTTTTCCGGCTGCTATTGTCCTTAGGTGAGTGCCCGTGTCTACCATCTTCCCTTTTCAGGCTGGTTTAACAATGGATCTTAAAAGTTGTTAGTTGTCCAACCATTTCTTTTATGAAAATTCTTTAAAGTGTTTGACTACTCTGGTTACTCCTTGTCACATATTCAAATGTTACCTGCTTTTGTTTCGTAATGATTTCCTACAAGCTGGTTATATAGTTGTTCCTCTTTATGAGCCAACTAGTTGAAAAGCAAACTCAAATAAGTTGGTAATGAATGTTCCTAAAAGTTGATTACATATAATGGAAACTAAGCATGAGTCTTGGAGTTTATAATATGTCTAGCTTCGATTAGCAGCCTCTTTTATCAGTTATAGTTTTTTCTTATTTCTCATACTACTCAAAGTTAATTTTCCACCTTCGCCATTGAACAGGGATACACATGGAATTGCAACCAAGAGGGACAGGTTAGTATCATGGGTCATGATACTGTTAGCGGTTTCATCAAGCACTGTGGCAATCTGCAGTGACATTTACAGCATTTTCAATATTGGAGTTGAAGCTTAGTAGGGGAGGGCAAGTTGTCACTCTCTGTCTATTTAAATATTTGCCGAAGGCAGATTAAGGTTTATAGTCGTCACACCCTTCTTTGGGAGAATTCAAATATGTCAAAAAATTAGGTGTTCACAATAGTCAGTGATGCGATGCACTTCAGATCAGTTAACTGATTTTTTGTGATTGATGCTAAGTTTATCCCAAGTGCATTAACAGGAAGATACATGAGAACAGTTTCGATACCGAGGAAAAGTACCATGCAGAAATCGGTCCATATTCTGTACAGCACACAAAATTTGTAATCTGCAGTAGAAGAGCTAATTTTTTTTTGATTTTGATTTATCATTACGAAACTGTTGAGCATCTATAGAAAACGGCCTCTCTAGCTCCACAATGCAAGAGTAAGGTCTGTATGCACTACCCTCTCTAGACTCCACCGGTGGAAATACACTGAATATGTTGTTTATCATTATGAAACTGAGCATTTTTGTAAAATTTGTCAAATTCTGTTCCTGATACAATTTTCAGGTTGCAATAGTTTGTAGTTTTTCATTTAAAGCCATGAAAATTTCAGCAGCTAAGTCCTTTGTTATTGTTTTGTAGTAGTTCTTTCCAAAAATGGTAGGGAAAAGGTAAGGAAAAGACAAGAAGAATGATTGCTTGTGATTCGACTTCACTGAGGAAATTGAACTGTTTCGAGCTAACCTTTTTGTGAAATGCTTTTGGAGAACAAAAATAATCTTAAGGTATTATTTTTAAAAGAAGGAATTAGAATGAAGAAAATGACCTCTTCAGGTCCTAATGTTTAAATACTCATTGCCCTCGACATTTCAGAAGTCTGAGAAAGGCAAAATTGCTGGCATCATTAACATTCTGTCAGGTATCGCTCAATATTTTGGTATCTTGTAATCTAAGACATGTCAAACAAACCCAACGGGAAAATATGAGTAGAACTGTATAAGGAACTCCAAAGAGAAAGAGTACAAAGGAGTGGAGTAGAAAACTAGGTTACGAAGGTATTGATATGTGGGCCAATTGTTGCAACATTTAAACATATTAACGTTGACAAACTTGACATATTTTCTACCTCTTCTTATTAGTGTTTTTATATTCTTTTTTCACACAGTTCAATAGTTATCCATTCCATCATTTGGAATTACCCAAACCCTATTATAACCTGTGACACCGACATTCTACCATGTGTCTACTGGATTGGCATTACTCTGGCCTTGTCATTCTACTCCAGCTTGACTCGCTCATGACTTTTTGAGTATTTTTCCAGCATGCGAGGAGGCTGGGAATAAGTTGTGGCTAATGATCAATAAATTGCTGAAAATCAGAAATTAAATCACAAAAAAATAGCTATCTTGGTAGATAAAATTATCCAATATTTCTAATAGTGATATGAAGCAAATACAAATGAAATGGAGTATTAGAAGTGCGTTCATACTAGTTCAGATACCATTATTATCAGGAAAAAAAGAAACATATAATTAATTTTATTTTTTTCTATCTATCTAGCTCCCCATTTATTAGGACAACCGTCAAAATAAAAAGATGGTTTTTTCTACCTTTGAAACATCAGTTTTCACACAATATAGGAGGTTCTCTAAAGTTGATGCAGGTATAATTCTAGTTGCTGTCTTTTAGTAAAGATCAGTGTAAGTTATAAATTTTATGACGTGACATCTCAACCGTCCAATTTCAGCCGTTAACCTTTGAATCCAAAGATGGTTTTCATCCTACTGCGATTCCTGTACAATTTAGAAAAGGGTTGTATGTTGAATTCCTTGAGTGCAAATTTTGGGCAGAGACGACGGAAGCGGGAGTGGAAGTGAGGCTTGATTCTCAAGTCATCCCTAAGAGGGGTAGTTTCAAGTACCTGGGGTCGTTTATTCAGCGGTCCGGGGAGATCGACGAGGATGTCACACACCGTATAGGGGTGGGGTGGATGAAATGGAGGTTAGCGACAGGAGTCCTGTGTGACAAGAAAGTGCCACTGTTACTGAAAGGTAAATTTTATAGGGCAGTGGTTAGGCCTGCTATGTTGTATGGGACCGAGTGTTGGCCGGTGAAGATCTCACACATCCAGAGGATGAAAGTTGCAGAGATGAGGATGTTGAGATGGATGTGCGGGCATACAAGGAAGGATAAGATTAGAAATGAAGATATTCGAGAGAAGGTGGGTGTGGCCCCCATGGAGGACAAGATGCGGGAAGCAAGACTCAGATGGTTCGGGCACATTCAGAGGAGGAACACTGATGCACCGGTGAGAAGGTGTGAACGACTGGCGGTGGTGGGTACGAGGAGAGGTAGAGGGAGACCTAAGAAGTATTGAGGAGAGGTGATCAGACAGGATATGGCGCGACTTAGGGTTACTGAGGACATGGCCCTAAACAGGGAATTGTGGAGATCGAGCATTAAGGTTGTAGGTTAGGGGAAATTGTGATGTCTTTTTTTACAGCGCACTAGAGTGAGGCTAGCCAGTTAGGAATTAGTCTTAGAATGCTATTGATTAACTACTGATGATGGGCTTTATCTTCTGTGTATTAATACCTTACATCTTTCTCGTATTTCCTATATCTCTTATATTGCTATTATTTTATTTTTTTATGGAATTTATGTTATGTTATGAATTTTACGGTATTTTATGTTGTTTTATTATGAGTCTATTGATAGTACTAATATAGTGTCTCTTGTTGCCTCTTTGAGCCGAGGGTCTCCTGGAAACAGCCTCTCTGCCCCTCGGGGTAGAGGTAAGGTCTGCGTACATATTACCCTCCCCAGACCCCACTTGTGGGATTACACTGGGTTGTTGTTGTTGTTGTTGTTGTTGTTGTTGTTGTATGTTGAATTCTTCCATAAACAAAATATAATAGCTGAAAATTATATATATTTCTATATGTTATATATAAAAGTATATTCAAATTTTATATATTTTTACGGCTATCGAATGTCAAGTTTCGGCATTAAAAGTGATCATTGTCCAAATTTCTCGCATGTCACATAAAATTTCTCATATGTCCGTTTCGTTATTACAATTTTTTTAATGTAAAAAATCAGAAGCTATACGGAAATTATCATTGAATCTCAGTTAGTCTTGGTAGCAATGACTATTCATTTAATCTTCAAATAGCATCACTAGATCTTCAACAAAGTAAATTTATATATACGTATTCCTGGGGCTCATATAATTATTCTTGTTTGCATGTCATTATCAAAGAAACTTACAAGTAGTAGAATAGTAGAAGCTAGTGGGTAAGATTCTTTGGTAATATGTGGAGACTATATATTTTTAGTGTTACGCTATTATTCCCTTATCAAAATTCAAAACCTAGCTATAGATGCCAAACAAGAAGACAGTAATTAGTTGTCCCTCATTTAGATTGATATGTCTTTTCCCAACACCTTTGTATAAATCTCATGATGGTGATAACTTTAGCTACTTAGATCTGTAGGTTAATAATGTAATTATCCTTCCAAAATTAGTATAGAAACTAATTTGCCTAAATGGAGTTGTTGGTATTAGTGACACTAGTGATTTAAGTACTGGTTTTAATTGCCGAAGAAGTTGTTTTTTTTTGTGGGGGGGCGAGGGGAGGAGGGGTATTAAAAAGAAACTAAACATTGATTTCTCCGATGGGCAGCAAAAACTGCTATAGTTAAATTTTGTTTTGTACAACTTACCCAATTTGGCCTTCATTTTAAGAGGCCAGGTATGTTTATCGGGAGAAATTCAAAAATAGCCAGATTTACGACGGGTCGTTCAAAAATATTTAGTTTTAAAAGTAATCGAAATTTAGTCATTTTTCATGTAAAGATAAATCTGAGCGAAAACACTGTTCAAAATCCGGAAAATATGCCAGTATATTATACTGGAGTTCTAGTATAAGTATGATTGAACTCCAGCATTTTATACTGGAGTTCCACGATAAGTATGCTGGAACTCCAGCATAATATACTGGAGTTCCAACAAGTATAATTGTCCAGTATAATATGCTGGAGTTTGGAGCACCGGTGCTCCAGTCTCCAGTATATTATACTGGAGTCAGCAAAGTATACCGGTCCAGAATAATATGTTGGAGTTCATACACAGGTGCACCGAACTCTAGTATATTATTCGGGACCGGTCTTTATTGCAGCAAAATAGTGGTTATTTTTCATTGACTTCGTAAACGCTGACTATTTTTGAATGACCAATCCGAAAATTGGCTATACCGTGCTATTTTTACATGTTTATCGCATTGTTATATAATAATAACACTATTTGTCAAAAAAATTAATACATTAGGATAAACTTGATCTTTCTTTGTTAAACCCTTATTTATATTTACTAAGGGTGTATTTATTTTTGGCGTTTAGTTAGCATGAGAATACGTAGCTTAATAATAGCAGTAGAATAATGCTTAATAAATGTCTGACAATAATGTTTAAATGTTGATTGAAATGGATGTTGTTGCGGCCAAACGCACGCGTAAGTATACGCGGTCGTCAAGTAATAAAGTGACTAAAAGTCGAATGTCGAACCCACGAGGACTTATGATTAACTATTAACTAATTAGACTATCCTAATTATCTAAACAAGAATTAAACCTAAGAAGTGTGTGACTCTAAGCTAATTAAAATAAAAGAAAAACAAATAGTGAACGTTGAACAAAAGAAGAGTAGATTTTTATGTTATCAATGTGATGAAACGATCTAAGTTATGGGCTATCTAACAATCATATTGTATTCTTCAATTGAATTGACTAACTAATTTATCTAATTTATTGATTGACTTGGTTAATATTGCTCATAAGAATCTGTCGAGTTCTTATTCGCCTATTCAAGCTAACCTAATGCCTATATGTCTATGGAATTAGAATTAACAAGAACGCATTGATAATTCATGTACATCAACCAAGCAAGACAATTAGGTATATGTCTATCCTAACCGCGAATTCATTCCCCGATGCCCAGGTTTAAGAACTTTCTCTACTCAATCCTATATGCAATCTAGAATTCCCACTTTCGAGATCAATTCTAAATTTTTAGATAGTATTCAATTAGTGATCAAGCAATCAAATAATTAAGTTCAGGATTGAATAAATAAACTAATATGAAAATCAAGAAACCAAAATCAATATCCAAATAACAATAGTCATGAAAGAACCACAACCCTAGAACGTGAAGTTTAGCTCCATATAGACATGATAGCCAAACAACAAATCATACAAGGAAATATAAAAATTACTAATTTTGGTGGAAGAAAAGGTGAAACCCGGCCTCCACGGCGACTCTGTGCTCTCCCTTTGTTAAAAGTTTGTCCAAAGTTACAAAAATAACATTTTTACAAATATTTATACCAAGTAGGGTCGGGCCCAGATGAAAACACCTTCTCCCACGCGAAATAGAAAAATAACTCTGTAAAAATTGCACAGGCGTGCCAGATAGGGAGACGCACCATGCGGGGTGGTAGTGGACTTTATCAGAAACCTTGCAATTTCGAGTTAAGAGCAAATCAGGCAGCCGCAGCTCGCCGCGGCTGTGGGAATTTGGGAAAATGTAAAACACAAAAGTTTTAGCCCTTTTAAATA